GGGAAGTATGGATGCCTGAATCAGACATTCTACAGGATACTTAACTCCTTCACTCCCTACTTGCAGCCAGTGGGTTAGCCATAGTCTCGTCTTTCTGTGAATTGTGTTCGTATTGTTTGCTTACACAAGGGAAAGATTAGCTTTATTCAAGCAGCATTTGACATAGAATTTCTCTTATGGTTGTCAAAGGGGGGTAGAGTTGGGGGGTCTTAGGGTTTGTCAGACTTAGGGAACCCTATACCTATAGGTTTATGATGAAAGCAGCATTTGGCATAGCATGTCTCTTATCGTTCTCAAGGGAAGGGGGGGGGGCAGAGTCAGTGGTCTCAGGGTTTGTCAGGCTGACGGAACCCTATACGGGTGCTCCCACCCAAGGTATGAGGAATCTCGAGAAGTTGTGGGCTTCTTGAGAAAGTGCAATCGTGAGTGCTTAGGGCTTCTAGGCATCCTAGCGCTACTTGAAAGCTGTTTAGGGGTTTAGGGGGTTTGTGGTTGGGGTTTAGGGTGTCAGTGTCGTCGATAGGGTTTATACTGCCTAAAACTTTCGCGAACAGAACCCACTCCCCCCCCCCCCCCCCCCCCCCAAACTCAAGCAGTAAAGCCGATCCAGACAGACGCCGTGAAGGCAATTTTTCAGATGCCCCCAAGTGCCTTCTTTGAACGCTCTTGGACCCTTGTTAAGGAGTACTTCGTGGGATTCAGGCTAAGCCACGAACCCTAACATCTAACCCCAGAGGAGCTGGTGCCAATGTAAAGAGTCTTTGACCGTCCGCTGCTGCAAATCTCCCTGGGTCGTGGAGGCCGGTGTGGGGTTGAGGGTTTACATGTTGAGGATCTTGGGCTTAGAAGGGTTTAGGCTTTTGATATTGAGCGTTTGGGCTCTTACAAGGGTTTAAGGTTCAGGGATTTGGGGCTTCAAAAAAGGGCCTGGAGGTTTGCAGGTATTCTTGACACTGCTGCGATCCCTGTTGCGGCGTGTATCCTTAGGGATACTCAAGCATCTCAGGTGAACTGAAAGAAGCTGTGTGCCAAATGCGAGGTGGACATCCAGTGCAATGATCAACTGGTGAAGGAGCCTGAGTTTGGCACTCGGCAATTCTAGGGCTTATAAGGATCACACACACACACACACACCTTACACATGTGAGGGCTGGAGACGCACTAGTCAAAAGAACACACTCCCTTTAGAGCAGAGTTCTGCCCTGAGCTTCGAAGGGCTAGTTGTTGAGGCTGTAAAGGCTTCCACGATCTGATTTGCCGGAGTAAGTAGTTTACTCTGGTTTGGTCAGGTGCTAGGTGGAATATACCCGAAATGGCCTAGCATATAATCCCAACGGTCCCGATTGTCATTCACGAATATTGCTAGGTTCACTTTAGGAAGCTTTGAACTCGAAACCTAAAGCCCTTAACCCGAAGCCGATTCCCTGATTTTGTGATCCTGGGGATCCCTGGGTCACCAAGGCCCAACGACCTCCCGGACGCCGCCGCCTGGGCAGCCATGTACGGCAAGGAGGCGCGCCTCCGAGACCCTTTGCCGTGGAGTTTTTGGGGACCTACTTTAGGGTTCAGGGTAAAGGGTTGTTCGTTTATATTTATGTTCTACGAACCATGAAGATTCATGAAGATTAGTTGTGTGCTGCAACCAAGGGTCCAGATCAAGTCAATGGTCGTCAAGCTCAGGGGGTCTGTTGCTAAAGCCTCCACCATCACTCGACCAGGAACATCCCAAAAACAGGCACGCGTTTTGGGTTTAATTAGGGTTCCCTAAACCTTAAACCCTAAACCCTAAACCACTCTTTCATATATAATATAAATGTTAATGGCTTTGCGGGCAAGGTCCGAAAATTAGTGGGCAAGGTCCGAAAATTAGCGGGCAAGGTCCGAAAATTAGCGGGCAAGGTCCGAAAATCAGCGGGCAAGGTCCGAAAATCAGTGGGCAAGGTCCATTGGCTGCCCCACGACCTTGCCCACTAATTTTCGGACCTTGCCCGCTGACCCACGACCTTGCCCACTGATTTTCGGACCTTGCCCACTAATTTTCGGACCTTGCCCGCTAATTTTCGGACCTTGCCCGCTAATTTTCGGACCCGGGAAAGGCCCGAAAATTAGCGGGCAAGGTCCGAAAATTAGCAGGCAAGGTCCGAAAATTAGCGGGCAAGGTCCGAAAATTAGTGGGCAAGGTCCGAAAATTAGCGGGCAAGGTCCGAAAATTAGCGGGCAAGGTCCGAAAATTAGCGGGCAAGGTCCGAAAATTAGCGGGCAAGGTCCGAAAATTAGCGGGCAAGGTCCGAAAATTAGCGGGCAAGGTCCGAAAATTAGCGGGCAAGGTCCGAAAATTAGCGGGCAAGGTCCGAAAATCAGTGGGCAAGGTCCTTGGCCCCCCCCCCCCCCCCCCCCCCCCCCCCCCCCCCCCCCCCCCCCCCCCCCCCCCCTCCCACCCCACCCCATGCACTGGGTCATTTGCAAAGCCACTGGCTGGCATGAGGGTTGAGGAGCCCTAAAATTTAGGGTTCAAGGGTTCAGGGCTGAGGGTTCTACGGTGGTTGAAGGTTCAGGGACAAGAGCGTAGGGTTAAGAATTTGGGTTGCGTGTGAAACTTTTATTGTCTTAATGGTATGGGATTCTCTGGGTGGGTGGGTACTTTTCGGGCGCTTGAAAGGCTGCCAGCCTAGTGAATGCTTGAACTTTGAGATGCTGAACCCTAAACCCTAAACCCTAGACCAGGAACATCTCCCAAGCAAACCGTCAAAGCACCTGAAGCCAGAACCTCGAGGCTGAGAAGAGGCGCCACTGGGATGCTTGGGCCAAGCTTCGCGCGTCCAACCAGGCAATGCCGGCCGCCTGCCAAGCCCTAACCCAAACCCTAAACCCTAAACCCTAAACCCTGAACCCTAAACCCTAAACCCTAAACCCTAAAACTTAACCCTAAACCCTGAACCCTGAACCCTGAACCCTGAACCCTAAACCCTAACCCTAAACCCTAAACCCTAAACCCTAAACCCTAAACCCTAAACCCTAAACCCTGACTCGGCCCAAGGGTCTCTGGCTTAAAGCCCGCCTGGTTCTGTGGGCGAGGGTTCCATACCCGCCATAGCCCCAGTTCAACCCTGGAGCCTAAGCCCGGCATTGCGTATGCACCCAATGGGGGGGTTTAGGGTTTAGGGTTTAGGGTTTAGTGTTTAGGGTTTAGGGTTTAGGGTTTAGGGGGGTTTCCATAGGGTTACCCTTTTGGGGGGTTCCTTTAAGGGGGGATTCTCTTCTATTTGGGGCATAACCGGGGTACCCCTATTTTGGGAGATTCCCAGATCCCGACCCTAATTGAAAGCCTGTGTGAATGAGTGAATGGCTAAACCTGAGACCCTAGTAAGAACCAATTTTCACTCAATCTTAATCCCTAAACAAACTTAAAGAGTCGGTCGCAAAACCCTAAAATCTAGATCCCTGTTGCCCGAAGGGCTCACAATACCTGCTCATCTCACGCCTAGGTCCGTAGCGCCCATGAAACACATCAGACCCTTCTCGTGAAGCATATTTTCCCTGCACTGGTTGTGGGCTCTGGGTTTTTTTGGTTCGAGTTTTTGGGTGTTGGGGATTGGGGTTCTATCCTAAGCCTGTCGGCCCCCGATCATACGGTTTTAGGGCGAGCATTAGGTCTTAGGGCTCTTGAAAAGCAAGTCGCTTCTGAGAGCTATTGCGGCACTTCAGGGGTGTTTGTGGAGAGCTTGGCATTGTTGGGTTTTGAGGTCTGGATTCATAGGAACTGCCGACGATCCTCCAAGTGGCCAGGATCGGGTTGCACTTCTCTTTGACAGAGCTCCTGGGTTTAGGAAGACGGCTCAAGGGCTTGTCTAGAGGTTCTTCTCGTCTCGTTCTTCCCAGCAAGAGTTTGTCCAGCCACGCATGTTCAGAAGCTCTTCTCGGACCAAATGTCTCTTGGCGCAGAGTAATGTTGTTTGAACAACATTACTCTGCATAAGATATTCACAGCACTGGAGCATCAAGTAAAAGCCTGTTGGCATCAGTGTCCAGCGGCCACTCTAGAACAACGCCGCGTACGAAAGCACATTCTACACCCGAAGCCCAAGCACACACACCCTACCCTAATGACAATACAAATAAATAAATCACTATATATATATATATATATCTATCTATGTACAATACATTAAAACCCTATATCCCGTGACTCTCTACAACATTTTGACCCGCAACTAGGGGCCCCTTTGCTTGTCGCTGACTGCGCGCGGCTCCTGCGAGGCTGCCGCTGAGGTCATGTTCTGCCAGCTCGCGGAGCAGTACGCGAAACGCCTGGGGGCCTTGAGTCGACACTGAACGTCTACAACTCCTGCTAACCCCAATTTCGGGGTTTAGGGTTTAGGGTTTAGGGTTTAGGGTTTAGGGTTTAGGGTTTAGGGCTGTATGAGCCCTAAATGAACCTCAAGCCGAGCCCTTGACCCTGAAGGGTTTAGAAAGTTTGGGTAAACCTCACCCCTCAACAACCTGAACCCCAAAGCCCGCAAGAAAGAGTCGTCTCTTTGCGTGTGGGTAAACATGCTATCCACCGTTGGTGGCAGGGCCTTTGTAGGCTTGAGGGATTTGTTTGCCGGCGATGCTGCTCTTCATGTAGCTTGCAGAGTCCGCAGCAGTTGCAGCTAGCTGCTCCGCTCTATGTGGCGTGCGCCTTCAAGCCCTATATACGATGATGTGGGAGATACTCGGCCATGTCTGCTGCGGTGCCTTGGCTGGAGTATGCGGTGGGTGGCTGTATGTGGGGGCGTGGTGGCTGTTGTTGGGGGCGTGGTTGCTGTTGGTTGAGCTCCGGGAGTGGCGCCTCAACCGAGAGTGACCCGACTCGCCGAACAATCAGACCAAAGCTTGGGAGAGGCCGCGCCTCAATGTCAAGCAGCAGCGGCTGATCTCACCACACGGCTGGGCCATGCCGAGGAAGCTCTGAGAGGGCAGCAGCATCAAGCAGAGGCACAGGAAGAGCATCAACAAGTATGTTGGTAGTTTCTGACATGTGCGTTGGTGCGGTCTCCGACGGTCGCTTGAAGAAGGAGGTGGCATCGCTAGCCGCCCAGTTCGGCTTCTCACTGGCTCGGCAGAAGAAGCGAGTGGTGGACTACGACTGTGCGCATCGTCAGCAGACCCTGAAGGCTTCGAAAACGCCTTCAAGTCAACAGGAAAAGCGGTTAGAAGCCAGATCGCGGAGAATGGATCGTCCCGAGCGGTTAGATGCGGACAAGCTTCGGGCCGTGGCCGCCCGAGTCAGCCGCAGCGAGAGTGGTGTAACTGGCGTGTCCTCGCCGGAGCCTCAAGGAACGGCTGCACGAAGAAGGGCAAGCATGCAGGCAGGCAGTTCACGATCTGCATCAAGCAAAGTCTGCGCATGAAGAACAAGTTGCTGATCTCTCCGCGCGACTGCGCCAAACAAGAGGCTTCCCATCAAGCTCTCAACGCGCGGCTTCATCAAGCAGAGGCTTCATATCAGGAGCTAGTTTCCAATTTCACATTGCGCTTGCACCAGACTGAGGATGAGGCGAAGATTGCGCAAATTCGTGTGGAGTAATTACCTGAGACGCAAGGTGGCCCGTGTGCGCAGGATGCCTCCGTACCGCAGATGGGCACAGCCGCAGGGTCATTGCGCAACAAGCAGCGATACATCGTGGACCGAAATCACCGAGGCTGAACATTGAGTGCCAATTCCCTCCCGGGCATCTCTGTCGAAGGAACCCGTAGCACTATTCCTTGCTGCTTCGTGTCCGACTCCATCTTCCACGCCGAGCAGCCGGGCAGCTTCATCCACGCCACGACACTCTATGAGGGCTGCAAGATCGCCTCAGCAGATGGCTCCCTAATTGTTGTCCGGAAGCCCCCGGAGCTCCACCGGGGGCCGAGTGCGCCTGGATCTTGCGTGCTGGCACTGCTACGCTGCAGGTGACGCGCGACCATCGTATTGTGCTGCCAGGAGGTGGAGCTGCGACTGGACTGAACATCCCGAACCTTAATTTACACTTTCTTTTTGTGTTCATTGGACGTTGCCTATACAAATATTGCGCCATGCCTCAGAAGACTTGTTGTTAGATGTTGAAGGTGCCAGCGGAGCATCTTCGCGTCGGCCAAACGGTCATGGTCCATGACAAGCCCACGCCTTTGACCAGCATCTATATCCCCCTTGGGAATTATTTTTATTTTTCTTTATATAAAACCCAAGAGGATGTTAAACAATATGATTTTGATTAAGGCTCTAATAAGGGGAGTGTAGGCATCTCCCTCTGCTCCGAGCCCGTCAACGTGCTGAAGCTCGCCTTCGAGCCGGATTTGCCTGTGGAAGTCTTCACGCACCGCCCCTCCATCCAGAGCAAAGGCTTCTCAGTGCAAAGTCTCGCAAAGTCGCAAACCTTGGGCTTCTAGAACCCATAGTTAAGCTCTAAACCCAAATGCCCATCCCCCCGCCCCCTGCAGCCCAAAGTCCCCAACGACAAGCGCTTCTGCTCTGCCCTCTTCGGCAGCGCTGCGTAACCGAGGAAGGCACTTCGCAGGGGCCTTGCAAGCCGCCGTGATGCGCAGGAGGAGCCCAGCATCCCTGATACGGAGACTGCATACATGGACTGAGAGTGGGTGCAGGGATGCAGCGTCGGTGCCTACCTACATGGGCCATTGTACCCTATAACCCCTTAAAAAGGCCCATGCTGGTATAGTGTGGCAGTAGATGTTCGAGTGATCCAAAGAATAATTCTGGCGCCGACTCTGTACTGATTGTTGTGCCACACGTGCTTCTTTTCATCGATTTTGAGCAGCATCTTGCTATTTTCGCGTTTATTTCTATGGGCTTAGCTATACAGTTGAGATGATCAGCAAGATGCAAAGACGTATTCAGCTGGAACAGACACTCTTGTACGCTTTTCACTCTTGAGCAGCGCAGGAAAGCCTTCGCATTCTTTTACTCGCAATCCCGTTCAGTTCTTCCCTCGACAATGCAATTGTAGTTCCCCCGTCAAGGGTTCGCAAAGCTTATCTAGAGCTGCAGCGCGGGTGAACGGCGAAGGTGTGCACAGTGGCACGGCGGCGAAGTCCTCCGTGTTATCTTGTGCCCGATCAAGATCGTCGGAGTTTTGATCGGACGGGTTAGCGCATGCAGCCCTTGTTGGTGTTGCTTCTGCTCAGCTTGCAGGATGTGTTTTCTTGGCCCAGAAGCTGCAGAAGAGTTTTTGTTTCCGAAAATCCTGACATTCAGAAGCCCTGCATAATCGAAACAAAGCCAAAAGCCGGAAGCCCAGGCCCCAAATCTTGAAAGCCTCGCAGTAGCTGAAAGCCGATGATGGGTTGCTGTGCCTCCGTCCATAGCTTAGGTGCCCTCTACTCTGGGGTTCCTGCAATCATGGTGTATGGGTTGGGGTCTAGGGTTCAAGCGTTTAGGGCTTACATAGGGTTCTAGTTTTTTAGTCAGGGGGCTTTGGCTGTTTTAGGTTTGGCTTTCGAGAACCCCAGCGTACATGCACACCCGTATACATAAAAGTTCCCGAGTTGGCGCAGAAGCCGCTACATGCACACCGCTTCGCCGTGCAGACTCGGCCAAAACGAGCCAACAAGCTAGGGTACATGGTGTTTGTGCTTTCTCTAATGTTGAATCATAGTCTCATGGTTATTAGCTATTGTTATGGGGGCGCGGGGTTGGGGGTGGGTGGGGGGGGGGGGGGGGGGGGGGGCGGGTGATAGGGTTTTAGTGTCTATGGATGGGCTTTAGGCTGCGTTAGCCAAGCCTTGTGGAGCATCTTGTCCGTGACGCGCTTGTACAATCCCTGTGCGGAAACAAGGGGGCAGTGGGGGTTTGCTGAAGATGTTTCTGACTCAAAGTCATCCATGTGTTCATATCAGGTTCTGTCAAGTAGGTTCTTTGTGGGGTTCCTCATTCGGAGCCTTGTATTTCTGGCACCCCCAAAGGGCAAAGGGACCTGTAATTTCTGGACTTAATATATGTGCACTTGCATATATGGTCCCCAAGGAGGGACCATCGTAAGGAGAACCGGCCATACACACGAGGGGTCTAGGCTAAGGCTTCAGGGGAGAGAGAACTTCGGCTGGGAAGAATTACAAACAGTATCTCCTTCCGGTTCCTTTATAAATATACTATAATTGTTCTAATTATTAAATTATTAAGGCCCATATATTTGCCTCCTCCAGCCTTGCACCGGAGCTTACGAAAGGGTTCTCTAGCTCCTTGGCCTGATCTTCTGCTCTGTGCAGGAAGCCGGATTCTCATAAATCTCCCGCCAAGATGGGTTCGGGATTGGGTTCAGAGTTTCAGCTTATTAGGACTTCTAGGGCTTCTAGATGACTTTGTTTTCGCGTTCAAACGGAAGCGCGAGCACGGTACTACAGGCCACAGAAGGGGTCTCCGAACCCCGTAACAAACGCCGAAGTCTTCCATTGCCCGAGGTGACAACCATCGCGCGCAAGCCTGATTCGAGGAGCACAGCCAGAAAGCCTGCTGGAAGCACCTTGCTCCTCCAATGAGCTGTGTTTCATCTTTTTCGGCTTGTAGCTCCGAATTAGGAACCCTTAGGAGGCCCTTATTGGCTTGTTTTTGGGAGGCTTCCGCTTCATTTCCGTCCTGAAGCAGCTGACTGTTGTTGCCTTCATCGCTGTATATGGAAGCTACAGCCATACAAATCGCAAACCCTAAGCCCTAAACCCGTTTCCTCGCGGAAGGTGCTGCGAACATCCTAGTTATGCTCTTGGAGCCGCAAAACCCTCAGGTGATAGCCTCCCAAACCTACATGTTCATTGTGTCTTTGGGGGTACGTGCGGACAGAGCAAGAAAGAAGCGCCTAAAATCATACAATTACACCATAGGTAGAGGTTTTGTCGTGTATAGGCTTACGTAGGGATCTAGGGCCATAAGGTTGCAGAGTTTTTGGGTCCTGGCTTTGAATTTCAAATCTCGGACTAGCACCCCCCAGTGCCACCCGTTCTTTTGCAATCAAGTTCCGTTCCAGGCCAAAGAAGCAGCCTCCCTCATTGTTTCCCAGACCCTGAACCCTAAACCTGAAACCTTGAAGCCTAAACCCTAAACCCTGAACCTTAAGCCCTAAACCCTAAACCCTAAACTCTGAACCTTAAGTCCTAAAGCCTAAGCCCAGCAGTCCTCGGCCGCTCAGGCTGCACACGTCGGCTACAGACACCCACCCGGCGGACTGTGACAACAAACCTTTCGAGGGCTGAGGGCTTTGGGGTTAAGTTAGGATTAGGGTTTAGGGTTTAGGGTTTAGGGTTTAGGGTTTAGGGTTTAGGGTTTAGGGTTTAGGGCGTGTTAGGGTTTAGGGGTCGAGTTGGTTCTTGAGAATTAAGTTGCACGATAAGGGGTTTCAAGTCTTGAATCGAGGAGGGGAGGAGGCTCCCTTCTCCCCCCCCCCCAAGCATGAGGAACAAGGAGCAGCAAGTTTTTACTGGCCGCAATAGGAGCGACCCGAATCCCGAAGCTCATCAGCAGCCAGCGAAAACCCTAAACCCTAAACCCTAAACCCTAAACCCTAAACCCTACATAGAGCCCCAAAAGCCCGCAAGGACGCGCGCAACCTTACACTTTAAGCTGCATGAATCGCGCCTGCCTGGCCGACCGGCCCAGCAGCGTCATGAAGCGTGGAGCTGAAGAAGAAAAGGACATGTCTACTATTTTAGGGTTTAGGGTTTAGGGTTTAGGGTTTAGGGTTTTGCTTAAAGAACCCCAACAGAATAAACACATACTACCCTTAATAAGGAAACAATGCTTAAGAACCCCAAAAGAATAAGCACATATAATCCCTGTATTAGCCTTAGCAAGGAAGTATTTCGTACTTTTTTGGGGGGAACCTGAAGCAAATGGTAGATGTGCATCAGGGGGCCAATGACGACCCCTTGGGTTCTGGACAGGGTTCCGAGTAACCCGGCACCCGAAGCCCTGTTGTTTTAGGGTTTAGGGTTTAGGGTTTGGGGTTTGGGGTTTAGGGTTTAGGGTTTAGGGTTTAGGGTTTGGGGTGTAAGGTTTAGGGTGCTCATCGTCAGAAGTAGCCGAAAAGGAGAGTTTCCAGCACGCTGACCCCACCCCGAAACCCCTCAACCCAACAAAAACCATTGAAGAGCCAAAACCGAGCCCACACCCTAAATCCCTCAACCTCCCTAAGCCCAACCCTAAAAACCCTAAACCCTTATGAAAGCAGTAAACCCTACGCCTAAACCCCAAATCCTAATCCCCAAACCCAAAACCCCAACCCTAAACCCCAAACTCCCCAAACCGCAAACCCCAAACCCCAAACCCCAAACCTCAAACCCTAAACCCCCTATACCCTAAACCCTAAACGCTAAACCCTAAACCCTAAACCCTATACCCTATACCCTAAACCCTAAACCCTAA